CTATACTCTAAAGCCACTTATGAAAAATGATCCACTTTTGCCATTTCTGTTTAAATTCTGCTAATTACCTCTCTAAGTTCAATTAATTTTTTACTTTAAGTTTTTGATTTGTTAACTTTAGGAGGTATCTGTTGGCTCCTCGCATGAAGGATATTTCACTTATTTTTCTTCTCTTGTCTTCCTAGTTCTTTTTCCTACTTTTACATTTATTTATTTATTTATTCATTTTTGTGGTACTAGGGATCAAACCCGTGGGTGTTCTGCCACTGAGGTACATCCCCATCAGTTTTGTTTTTTATTGTGAGACAGGGTCTTGTTAAATTGCCCATGCTGGCCTCAAACTTATGATCCTTCTGCCTCAGATTTCCTAGTAGTTGAGATAACAAGCATGCACCACTGCACCTGATCATCTTCCTAGTTTTTGAGTACATATTTTTTATTTTTATTTTTAGCTTTTCTTTTAGTTATGTTTGTAGCTTTAAATAACATATCCAAATATTAGCTTCTGCTAGATTTAACACAGCCAATAGCATACCAGAGTGAGTGTTTTATAATGGTAGATCCTTGAAAGAAGTGAGGGAAAGAGATTGAGCTACTGCAGCCCAATTTCTGTTTCCAATTTTACCACTTAAAAAATCCATGATCTGTGGCAGAGTAGGTAATCGACAGGGAGTATCAAATGTTAACACTCACTAATGTACTTCCACATGATAAAATGAAGCAGGGGGAAGAATAGTAACCTTACAATGATCACATTTGATTCCACTGACAAATGGAAAAACTGAGGCCCTCAAAGTGACCTACCCAATATAAAAGCTAAGAGCAGATGTTAGAATATAGTCCATTCTGTCTCTTTTATATTCTGACTGCACTTGAGATCCTTGTAATTAATTGGGAATAAAAATTATAGAGTTTTCAGGTTGGTCATAGGTGGAAGTAAACACTTATCAATAAATTTATCAACATTTATCAATAATAATATATAATATATTATGTTATATAAAATATTACATATTTTATAGATTTTTATTGTTTTAAAATAATAATCTTTAAATTCTTTTAGATTTGTTAATTTATGCATTTGTATGGGAAGTAAATTTATTTTTGGTAGTATATTTGTCTTAGGGACTTAAATGTTATGTTTACTTTCAAGGATGCAAATTAAGTTCAGAATGATGTACTAATGCCTTAAGAGAATTGTTAGAGTTGGAATCTTTCCTCATGAAGTGATAGAAACAAGACCACACTGATGATCAGGAGCACACAGGCGGAACTTTAATGGGGCTTCAGCTCCGGAAGATGGGGGAAGAATACTGGTCAAAAGAGAAACCAGGCTGCCTTGAAACCACAGGAAGGGACAGGCCATTTGTTGAGTTGCTGAGGTGGGCTAGGGTCTACTATTTTTCATCAGTTATGAGTGTGGCATTTTTAAGAGGAATTTCTTCCTTGTGAAAGATACAGATCAGTAGTCATTTAGTTTATTTTTGAAGGTATTGTGGCACCAATTACTCTGGCTTTTATGGTACATTGGTCTTGTGGTCAACCTGGTTCTTATGATATCATTATTGAAAATATGAGAGGGGAGGAGAAAAGGAAAAGAAAAACATTTCATGCTATTTGTTATGGTTTAAATATGAATTACCCTCCACAGACTTGTATTCAGGTCTTGATCCCCAATGCAGCAATATTCCAAAGTGGGAGCTAGAGAGGTGACTGGATCATGAGAGCACTAATTATGCATTCATCCATTGATGAGTTCATAGCTGAATGGGCTATAAGGACATGGAGCCTCCTTGGTGCTGTTATTTGGGGATGCCTTTGAAGTGTTCATCCTATCCCCAGCCCTTTCCCCTCTCTCTCTGCCTCTTTCCTTTTCTCTCTGCTTCCTGGCTGCCTTGACGTGATGAGCCCTCTTCCACCATGCTCTTCTGCTATGTTTTGCCTTGGAGCCAGGTGACCATGGACTGAAACCTCTGAAACTCTTAACCAAAATAAACCATTTCTTCTTTTAAGTTGCTTATGTCAGGTATTTTGTCCCAGAGATGAAAAAAGAATAGAAAACACCACTTTTAAGGGATGCAAGATTAGGATTTAAGGCCTCAAGCATTTTTCTAGGCTTTTTGAATACCTTTCTTTCAAACCGTGACAGGTCAGAGCTTAAGGCCTCAAATTTCTTTGTCTTCTGTCCCTGTAGTGGTTACTAATAGGAGTATATAGCATTATGAGCTTGAATTTCTGTTTAAACTGGCTAAACTTAGAAGAATCACATTTAGAATATCATTTACCAAATAGAGAAAGGAAGACCCATTTTCTTTGGTCCAAATATATAAATTATTTATAGTATTTAAGAGCAAGGTCTGGTTTCCTTTTCAGTTATTGGTTTGAATAAAGCATTTTGACATCAAAAATGTAGATAGCAGGCATTTCCTGTACTTAATTTAATCCCTCATAACCAAGAAGCATCGTGATGTAGACTAGTTTATGTAAAATTTGTTACAGATTCTGTATGTTTTGCAAGTGTCTCACATTTTATTTCATTTAATTCAGTTTTCTGTATGGAAAGATATGGGTAAATATATTCTTAGGAATATCTTGGAGACTTTATGCTGTGAGCACATAAATTGTAAAATTTGTTTTGGCTTCCTAGAAAGGGATTGTTAAGTAAATGTAGCTAATTTTATGTCAGTTTGATTGGTTCATAGGTGCCTAGATAGCTGGTTAGACATTACTTCCGAATGTGGTTGCGAAGGTATTTCTGGAGAAGGTTAGAGTTAGTATGTTGGTGAACAATGTTCAATCCACTGAAGGACTGAATAGGACAAAAAGGTAGAACAAGATTGAATAAACACTGCTTGGCTGTTTGAGCTGAAACACTGATCTTCCCTTAGTGCTCTTTGTTCTCAGACCTTCAAACCCAGAGTAGAATCTATACCATTGGCTCCCTGACTCTCATTTAATTTTTTTTGTATGGGGGATTGAACCCAAAGCCTTCACACCAAGGCACACACACACACACACACACACACACACACACATATATATATGTCTTTGTATCCTTTGGCACTATTTATATTGGTACTATTTCTACTTCTCTGGAGAACCCTAATATAGTAAACTTCAATTGGCAATATATAACTTATTGACATTATTCATGATTCCTTCTTCTTTGAGAGATGTGCGAAAGGATATAGTTGATATGAAGCTCGTTCCAGTTTCAGTGACATCAATTTTTGTCTTTATAACTTTTGGGAATAGAGAAATGATACCTAAAGTTTGGTACAGTTAAAAGATTAATAGAAGAAGGCACAAATGGAGGTTGAAAGATAGATTTAATATAGTAATAAATAAGCAAATAAATTTGACATGGTAACTTTTGCTAAATCATTGACTATATATAAAGAACTCTTTAATCCATTTTGATTTTAGTTTAGTGCATGGTGAGGGATATGGGTCTAGTTTTAATCTTTGGCAAGTTGAAACCCAATTTTTCCAGCACTATTTATTAAAGAGGCTATTTTTCCCCCAGTGAGGATGTTTGGCTCCTTTGTCAAAGATGAGGTGGCTGAGTGTGTCTGGAGTTGTTTCTGCATTTTCTAATCGGTTTCACTGATCCTCAGGTCTGTTTCTTTTCCAACACCATGCTGTTTTTATCACAGTAGCTTTGTAGTATAGTTTGAAGTTGAGGATTGTGATTCCCCCCCTGCCCCACCTTGTCTTTGTTGCCTAGAATTGCTTTTGCTATTCCAGGTCTTTTCTTGTTCCAAATCAATTTTTGGATTGTTTTCTCAAGGACTGTGAAGTATGCTGTTGGAATTTCAATTGGGATTGCTTTGAATTTATATAGGTTTTGGAAGTATGGCCATTTTCACTATATTAAAACTGAAATGGATTAAAGATCTAAATATTAAAACAGAAACAGTAAACTGGCTGCAAGTGAGGTTAGGTAGAACTTTTAAAGACACTGGTGTAAGAAAAGATTTTGTGAACAAAACCTCAGTTGCACAAGAACTAGCACAAAGAATCAACAAGTGGGATCTCTTATTAAAAAGCTTCTGCACAGCAAGAGAAACCACCAACAGCATGAAGAGACAACCCACAATGTGGGAAAACATTTTTACCAGCTGTTCCTCAGAAAAAGGTCTACTATCTAGAATATATAAAGAACTTAAAAAAAAGCAGACCTCCCAAATGTAAAGACCCAGTCCAAAAATGGACATATGAAAGGAACAGACATTTCTCAGACAATGAAGTAGAAAGAGCAAACAAATGTATGAAAAAATGTTCAACATCACTGGTCCTTTGAGAGATGCAAATGAAAACAATGCTGAGATTCCACCTCACCCCTGAAAGAATGCCTGCTATCATGAAATCAATGAATAACTAATGCTGGCAGAGCTGTGGGGAAAAAGGAACACTGCTCCACTGTTGGTGGGAATGTAGACTGGTGCAACCACTTGGAAATCAGTATGGAGATACTTCAAAGAACTAGGACTGGGAGTCCCATTTGACCCAGCTATTCCCCTGCTGGGTATCTTCCAAAAAGAATTAAAAGACTCATACCACAGTGATAGATGTGCACCCATGTTCATAGCAGCGCAGTTTGTAATAGCTAAAACTTGGAAACAGCTCAATTGCCCATCAACTGGAGACTGGATAAAGAAAATGTGGTTTTTAAAAATTTTTTTTACTCAGCCATAAAAAAAGATAAACTAGAGACATTTATAGCTAAATGGATGCACACTGAGGTGATACTCTTAATTGAAATAAATAGGACACACGTGTAAATACAGCATAGTTTCTCTGGTATGAGAAAGTGAAAGCGTAAATAAGGATCAGAAGGCATAATAGATATTGTGAAACAGGAAGAAAAGGTCCAAAGGGGAAGTGGAAGTGGGAAGGATTGGGGAAAGGAAAGAAGGAAATGGAATTAATATGAGAAAATGAAAAAATGGAAACAAAATCTTTATAAATAGGGAGGGGTGGAAGTGTTGAAGGGAGGGAGGGCAGGGGGATGGGGAAAAATAAGAACCAAAATAGATTATGTAAAGGTACAAATTTCCAATGATGAATGTAATTATATTGTGTACCTAAAATGGAGAAAAACTCTTATGGAGAAAAACCTGGACATTAAATGACAATAACTAGTAGTAGCACTGGATGGGAAGAAAGTATCCCTCAATTCTATTAGGTACTCTTGGCCACAGATGAGAGGCTTATACAAAGTAGATTCTAGATTTTCTTGGGAATGGAATCTATGTCACACAGTATATCCACCAGGGTTCCCCAGAGTAACAGCACTGCTTAAATATCTGTCTGATTTACTATGAGAGGTTGGATCACAGGCTTACAGATGCTGAGACGTCCTGTAATCTGCTATCTGAAAGCTGGAGATTGCGTGAAGACAGTGATATGATTCAGACTGAGACTGGGGGCCTGAGAACAAAGAGAGCCATTGGTATAAATTCTAACCTCACAAAAATGAGATGACATATTCCAGGTCAATTAGTGAGGCAGATAAAAAAAAAAAGGAGCATTCGTTTTTCCTCCACCTTTTGTTGTATTTAGGCTCTCAGTGAGTTGAATGATGCACACCCACATTGGGCATGTACTTCACTGAGTTCACTAATTCAAATACCATGTCATCCAGAAACATCTTCTCAGACATGCCCAGAAATAATATTTAATCTGGCCCAATGAAGGTGACATAAAATTCACCATCCCTCTGTTTTTAGCCTTCATTCTGAAAGGCCAAATTCCCGATTATGAAATTTAGTCAGTTCTTGTATAAAGTAAGTGAAAAGATGATGAACAGTCCATGCTAACCCAGAAATAATGCTGAAGGGACTATGCACCATGATTGCTACCATGACTCCTGCTTGGAAATGACTCTCTCTCTCTCTCTCTCTGTAAGAAGGAGGTTGAGGATATAGACAGAAAGAAAGAAGTAGCTATGTTGCATATGGTAATCAATCACAACTAGCTTCAGCAAAACAGAACTTAGCTATAGAGTGTAATTTGAAATTAAAGAAGTGCTTTCATACCAAAATATTTGACCAGTTCATTGCTTGCCCATTAGTGAGTCATTGCTTAGGGCTTAAAATGTATTTCTTGGAAAGTGCAGGGCTGATATCTCTGGAAAGCATAATATTATGTCACTGTAGCACACTAACATTGATGGATTGGTTTACTTATCACTGGTTGATCTTGGAGTAGACAGAACAAAAGATGGCATTTTGGAAAGAAAACTGACAGTAAGATGTATTCCAGATAGTAGCAACATATGTGGGACAGAAGTCTATGGGAAATTTATTTGATGAACCAAGACAAGATGGGTTGCAACATAAGAAAATTTGATGTAAACAAAGGGAAAGGATTGGAATAGAGAAAAGAAAGTTTGTGAAGAATGAAAGTGTCCCCCTCCTTTTTTGGGGGGCTAGAAATTGTTTCCTAGATTTTTATAAATATAGACTAATTAACAACTATTAAGGCTCAAAAATACGCCCCATTTGTGGGGAGCAGAATAGAGTACTGGAAATCAGAAATTCTTTAACCATTCAAGTTTTTAAGTCTGTTAAGCAACAGCTAAGTGGTTCTCTAGTTCTCTTATTCTAGGGCCCCATGGATATAGGTCCTGCTTTACATCTGTTAGAACTAAAAACAAACAAAAAAGAACATTTAACTTTAAAAAGATCTTTGAAAGTTTAAATTAAATAAAAAAACCTTATGTTTCCCACTTGGAAGCTTTTCTTCCATCCCTCCATTTTAAATTATACTTGTGGTATCTATGTTTTATAACAACTTTCCACTGCCCCAAGGCAAAAACAATCGAACACTTCCTTATTACCTAAAATTAGTAGGCCCCAAATCTTCATTTTCTTATCAGAGTTTATTGTTGCACATATGAGGTACCATGCCACTACCAGAATTATATCCAGATTTGTTCTTTTAAAAAACTCAGAGAAAAAAAACTTTCCAGTAATTTTCATTCAATGTGAATGACAAGAATATTATAACTATAAACATTGAAATAACCATTTCATTTCTTCCTGAGGAAGTTTCATATTTTAAGCAATGAAAAAGGGAATTCTATACAAAGCTATTTTAAATCACATTATTTCCCATTTTTTCTCATGTTTATTTTGTTACTTTCAAAATAGCATAATAATCAGGTGGAGTATAGCATAAAAACCTATGCATGATCCTAGAACTTGATGCTGTCTCCAAGACATACTAAGTAATCAAAAATCCTTTCAAAGCTTTTGTTGCTTTCTGTACCATCAAACATGTACTCATGAAAAGTAAATTTTGGTACTGTCTCGTCCTTTTTCTCCATTCATTATATAAACACTGAGTATCTTTGTAACATTTCTTTTAAAAGATGAGTTATTCAGTCAACTCAATTTGCCTACACAAAAGAATGTCATCAGCAATTTTACTTAGAAGTTCAAATGTATATCTCATCTTTCAGTATACATGTAACATTTTTCCTTTCCTTTTTTCCTTATCAGCAGAAACACTGCTTAATGTATGTAACCCTTGTAGGGTTAGATATGTTCTCTTAAATTAATGATGAATGACTATCCTAGTATGTTCGGGTTGTGCTGCCTCAAAAAGAGACAGTAGTAAGCATGAAAGTTGAGTCTACTACATTTGCCCAAATGATTTTGAGTTTGATTTTAGTTGGGGGTCTTAAAAATTGTCTTTTCCCCCAAATATTTCCAATGTTTGTTTTAAAAATTAGTGTATTCTTTGGGTACATAAAACTTTAAAAAATTTAATTAATAATTACAATGTTCACTAAAACAGTGAGTAGAAAGATATCATAGCTTGCCTGCTAATTAGTAAATAATTGATAGAGTTTAACTTCACGTATAATGACAATGGAAATATTTAGCTATAGATTTTCCTTACATATCATTTTTTCTAATTATACCTTTAGTACTATATTATAAAAGCTAAGTAACAATAGCATGGAATTTACTTCCTACTTAAAATTAGGCAAATTTATGTGTAAAGTATATTTAAAAATTAAGTAAACATTAACACGGGAAAATAAGTATGCCTTATTTTTTTTGAATACTTTATTAGTCATACATACCCTTTAAAATGTAAGTGTAAATATATTTTGAGAACCATGCTTTGCTAATTTTTTTACTTCCTCCATTTAATTTAGTAGACAATCTAGAAATTTAACTGTATTGTATTTTCTTCCATGAGAGTGATGTATGAAATATTCTCAAAAAATGGGACTTTATCCTACTTATTTTCACTGCTTTGTATCAAAAGTTACCATTTCAAATATTGGATAACAAATCATATATTAATTTTTTGTTATAAACCTGTACATTATACAATTTTATTCTGAGCTATATGGGAATATGTGATTTTTCAATAACTTAAATGTGAAGAGCCTGAACAGGTCATCTAGGGAAACTGCCCTTAGTTTTCATTTAGTAAGTTTTATTCTGGGGTACATAAAAAAAGTCATTCATATTTAAAAGTTCATCTCTTTCCAGAGATGATACATTCTTCAGACTCCATGAATACATTTTGGTAGAACTAGGGAGGACTACTGCAGTAGATTTACAGCTTACAACAAGTGGGCATACAATTCTCAGTAATATATCTTGAGATCCCTAACATTTCTCCTTTTTAGAAGATTTAGTCGGTACATTTACATTATTATTTACTGTTTTGGTATACTCAGTGTGTTTCTATTTACCATCTGACAGGTTTACTATGTATATACATTTCAGTATAACAGTTACATTATGATGGAAGCTTTAGTCATTTTTACACAAATGCACTAGACTATATATGTGAAAAAACCCACTTTTTTAGCACTTGTCTTTTTTGACACAGATAAAGCTCATATATAACTTTTCCTTTCTCTGGTCTAACAGAAATTATAATTTACATTTTTTCTAAATACTTCAGTGAAGTTAGATGTTGGCAAGCATTTTTCACGAATGTTATGCTTTTGGAATTTTATGTTACATTGTGATGTTCATTTTAGTTCTTGTTTGTAGGACACTTTATAAAATCAAAGAATAAGAAAATGTACAGGCAAACAGTGGTCTAAAAATGTACAGACTCAATCTTAGTTGATATACAAAAGTGTAAATGTCACTATGAAATGAATATTTTGTATTTACGTTTGTTATGTATGTTGATTGCTACTGACTTCCACATGAGTGCACAGCAATCTACAGTAATCCCACAGGCTCAGGTATGGGTTACGAGGAGGGCCACAGGCCTCAAGGCTTGTAACAGGTATTTTTTTCTTTCCCTAAGCATCCACATGCCAGCACATGGAAGGAACTTTGTTCTTTTTCTTGCTTGAAGAGGTATATATTTTGATAGCCTTTTGGTAGCTCTGGAAGCTTTGGAAAAGGTGTATGTTATTACATGGAAGATGAATTCCCAAGAAGTTTTTCCTCAGTGCTATCTCACTTTCTGCAGCTCCTGTCTCAGCCAGGATGGCAGAGGCTGCCCCAGTTTGTGAAGCAGCTTTGAGAGTTCCACGTTGTGATCTCTGTAGTAGCTTGACAGAAATGCTCTGCTCTAAATGGGAAGGGAGAGATAAAAGTATATTCCACTTTGTTTCTTACAGTATATTTCAGAGACTTTGATTATGTATAAATGTCAAATATGCCATATCAGCCAGGCATGGTGGTACTTGCCTGTAATCCCAGCTACTTAGGAGGCTGAGGCAGAAGGATTGCCACAAGTTCTAGGCCAGCCTGGGCTACATAGTGGGTTCAAGGCCAGCCTGAACTACATAGTGAGACCCTGTCTCTAAAAAAAAAAAAGGAAAAAGAAAAACAAAAGAGATCCCCCTCAAACAAAATCAAGTATCAAGTATACCAGATTGGATTAAATTGTATTAATCATGTGGACTATCTATTTAGCACATCCTATAGTGCTTTGTTGATGGTCTCTAGGCAGGGTGCTCACATTTTTATTTCCTCTGAGGAGAGGTGAACAGTATGGCGAGAACACTTGCCTACTCCTATCTGTCCTACGTATTTGTAGCTCCATTTCCCCTGTGGAGCCTCCTTTCAAATACTTTTTGCACAAAAACCAGCCGCTTTACTCTTTCAAATAAATCCAAGATGTGTTACACAGTAACCCTGTTGAGAGAAATAGACTTGATAGCCTGAAAATTTATTTTTTTCTTATGTATGTCTACCACCAAATTTTGTACTGTTTCACAACATGTCTATGTTAGACCAGAGTAAAATAAAACACTAAGAAATACATTTTGCACTATCTTTTAAAGATTTTAGCTTTAATAAATATATAGGGAAAAGCTCTGACATAAAATACTTTTATATTGCTTTCTTGAAATACTATAGAAATTGACCTTTAATTTCTTTTAATATAGTGGAATTGTTTACATAATACTGTAAAGGTACATTTCAATAATCAAATAATGTAATTTCTTTATCAAAATAAGAGAATCTTCCTGTTCCGCATGCCTCCCATACAGAATTTAATTATGAGCATACTGAACACAGGGCCTGTCTGTATCAGGCCTGGTATAACAAATGATCGATCCTCAAAGTCTTGTTAGATAAAAAATTTTCTAATAAGTTTGCATTATCTGATGATTCTTAGACTACCTTAGTATTGTCAGTTAACATCATATATCAAATATTGTTGGGAACAAATCCCAAATATTTTTATTTCTGAGTTCTAAAAAGTTATACATCATAATTTACTTGTATTTTTATATTCAGAGTACACACTAACTTAACTGATTATTAAACAAAAATATGAATAAATCTTAGTATTTTTGAAATAAGCATTAAAAGTACAGAGTATACAAACAGAAAACTACAGCATTACAGTTCATCGTGTGACCATTCAAAACAGTGAACATAAAGTGCTAGATATCACAGTGTGTGTGCTTTCATGGCTCAAAGCCTAAATTATCTGTTAGTACATTAGCATTTGGGAAATATATTAATTATCTGAGCTTACTAGCATATTAAAGCTCAAATCTTGGGACATTATTTCAGTAATTAACATTATTATTCTGGCTACACTTAATAGTACAGTGATTTGACAATGAAAAAAATTAGAAATCATATGGTCTTATTTCTAATACTGTAGATACATTTCTTGTCTTGGTTTAAGGTAACATTTTTAGTGCTAAAATTTGTGTGGGTATCATTTTTTAATTTGGAATGAGATATCTTTTTGTTGTGGTTCAAAATGGCAAATTCTACTTTTTTTTAGAATTCTTGAATGATAAGTAATTGTATGTAATTGGAAAAATCATCACAAGAAATCTAGATGTAGGGAAACTCAAATGTTACTTTTTATTTTTAGAAAAGATGGATTTTTATTTGTTACTTCTCTAAGAAAATAGATTATTATTATTTTCTATATTTAGTTTGTATTTCAAAAATTGTACTTACATCAGAATCCATTGGAGGGTATTTTCTTCCTTTACTCTTTCCAAGGCATTTTGTTTTACCTTCTTCCAGTAACTGACACCAGAAGCCTTTATGAGAATCAAATCTAAAAAAAATAGGAAGCCCCAAAGAGTATTTTTCAAGTAGCTTATATGATTTAATGATCAATAGCATATTGTTATTTGGATATAAATCTAAAACCACCGAAACTGGAATTTTTATTATATTCTTTTGCATAATGTCTTTTGGAATACTTCTGAATTCTCAGTCCATATGTTATATGACAGATTCTTAATAAAAGCTTTTCAACAGAAAATACCCTATTTATAAAAATAATAAGGCTACCTCCTTCATCTGGAAGGAAAAAATCATAAATTTTAAGCCATTTTTTTCCTTTATAGAGTTAAAAAATGACAAATTGACCTTCATCTACATCTCTGGATTTAGATAGTATTTGTATGACACATCTACAGGGTAATTCAAGACAAACGGTTTTGGTATGCCAAGGAGTGCTTACTTTTAGGATTCTCTAGCTGTAATCCATTTAATTGTTAAAGTTATAGCAAAGAAACAGACCTGAAGATCAGTGGAATAGAT